TCCTTACAATCAGTATTCTGAACTCTATATCTGGTAGATTGCTTATCTCCATTTCATTTAGCTCTTTTTCTGGAGACTTCTCTAGTTCTCTCATTTGGGGCTTGTTTTTTGTCTCCCCATTTTGGCTGCCTGTTTGGGCTTGTTTTTATGTAATAGGTAGGTCTGCTAGGACTCTCAGTCTTTTTGGAAGGTCTCTGGTGCAGTCCAATGTCAGACTCTGCTTGTAACTGGCCTTGAGTACCCTGTTTGGAGCTATCAACAACCCACAGCTTGAGGTCCCCTCTGTTGGGGCTGGGTGCATTTGGACAGGACCAAGATGCAACCAAAGTCTGCTTTTCCAATGCCCACACCCAGAACAGGCAAAGACTCAAAGCATTCTGAAGTCTGCCTCTGGCTGTAGGCTGATTAATCTGATTCTCTTAATGAGCCTCAGGCTGTAGAAACTCTACCAGTAGGGCAAGAGGTTTTCCAGTAGGGTGCGACAATTGCTTCCCCCTCAGACAAAAGCTACTTGGAACGTAAATGTCTGCCTCTGCTGTATGGGGGAATGACTCAGCATAGGAATCCAGAGGGGTGCCCTCTGAGCTCTATCTCCAGAGCCCATAACCCTAGATTCTCCTCACACAGCTCCAGTCCACTTTGCTGTACATGATACTTTGTGCTTTGGCTCTTTAAGAGGGTGCCTGCATTTCCAGCCATCTCTCCCTGGCACACAGAAAGCCGGCTGCTTTTCACAGCCAGGTGTTATGTGGGAAACTTTCTCAGTTCTGGTGCCGTTGACTGGGAAGCCCAGCCTAGGGTTTAGGCCCCTGAGTCCTCAGTAGAAACCCCCCATAGCTGGGCTATCCCTCCGGACCATCAGCTCCTGCCTGTGGGAGCCCAGCAGCCCTCTCATGCCTCTGCACTTCCTACCAGTCTCCACTTTTCCTCCTTGGTTATGAGGGTGCTCTCCAGCTTGTCTTCAGTTGCAGATGATTATTTAGGGTGGTTTTTCTATGTTTTAGTTGTAATTCCAGTTTGGTCCCGAGAGAGTGTCAGTGTAGTTTCCATTGGGTTCGTCACCATCTTTAATCTCCTCTCTCTCTTTTTTTTAAATTTAACATTAAAAAAAATCTTTATTGATTTGAGAGAGAGAGAGAGAAGGAGATAGAAACACTGACTTGTTGTTCTTCTTGTTTATGCATTCATTGGTTGATTCTTGTATGTGCCCTAACTGGGGATCGAACCCACAACATTGGGTATGGGGGCGACGCTCTAACCAACTGAGCTACCTGGCCAAGGCCCAGCTTATTTTCTAAAACTTCTTTCAGGAATAAAAGATTCTATAAAAAGATGAACAGGAATGCACATGAGCACCTACCAAAGGCAGGAAAATAGCCTGAACTGCTGAGCATGTGCTTCCTGCAGAGCAAGCACTCAGCAAATGCTTCCTGTGGCCCCAAGGGAGAGATGGCGCTGGGCCAAATGGGGCTGGAAAGGCGGGAAACAAGGTAGGACTACATGGTAGGAAACAAAGACAGTGCTTAATTTGCATTTTCATTTGACTAGTGTTATCATAAAACCCTACCTACTCCAGCTTGGCAGTTTCTCTTGGTTGTACTTTTTTATCCTTTCTGCCACCTTTTAGTTTTATAGTTTACCTGGATGCTACTCTTTCCCCTTTCCATTTCAATATATATATTTTTCCTGACTGGATTTCCCTTGGAGAGAAGGGTCTACAATAGTTGGCCTTTTCACAGGAAAATTCAGAAACAGCTGGTAAGAACATTGGAGGGGGCTGACTCTTACTCTCATTTGATAGATATGGAAATTCAGGCCCAAAGAAGTCATCCAACAGGTTAGTAGTGGCCAAACCAGGCTGGATAGGCCCCTTTCCACTGAACCTTTCTTGTGGAGCAGCTGAGGCAAAATTCAATCTCCTTGCTTATCAACAGCTTTCACCTTGGATAGAGGTCAGTTGATAAGTCTCAGATTCAATATGCTGGATTAAAATTCTTTCAATTTTTAAATTTATTTATTTATTTATTTTTATTTTTAAAATATATCTTTATTGATTTCAGAGAGAGGAAAGGAGAGGGAGAGAGAGAAACATCAATGATGAGAGAGCCACTGATCGAGCCCGCAACCCTGGCATGTGCCCTGACTGGGAATCGAACCCCGATCGCCTGGATCCTAGGTCGACGCTCAACCGCTGAGCCATGTCTGGCCGGGCTTTCAATTTTTTTAATAATACATCCACCAGAATGGCTAAAATTAAAAAGAATGAAAATACCAAGGCTATAGAGCAAAGGGGGTTTTCAAACATTGCTGTGGGAGTGTAGATTGATAAAAAAAAACACTTTGTAAAACTGCTCAGCTATATCTACTAAAGCTCAACACACACCTACCCTATGACCTAGCAATTCCAGTCCTAGGTATTTACCCAAGAGAATTAAGCACATAGATCCACCAAAAGACAGGTACATAAATGTTCATTGTAGTTTTATTTATAATAGCTAAAAAACTGGAAACAATGCAAATTACCAGCATCAGGAGAATGGGTAAATACTGTGTGGTATATTCATACATTGAAATACTACATTACAAAAGCAAACAGAAACCAAAAGAGAATGAACTACTGATTCATATAAAACATAGGTAAATCTCAGATACATTATTTTGAATTAAAGAAACCATACACAAAAGTGTACATAATGTAGATTACGCTTACATGAAACTCAAAAACAGATAAAAACTACTCTATGGTGATAGGAGTCAAGACAGTAATTATTTGGAGGAAGGATAGGAGGCAACGGTATACTGACATTAGAGAACTTCTAGGATGCTAGAGATGTTCCAGATCTTGATCTGGGTGGTAGTTAATTACGCAGGTATAAAAGTATGTAAAAATTCAGCTTAAGTCGAGCATTTAAAAGTTGCACATTTCCTATATGCAATTTATAGTTCAACTTTTAAAAAGTACCCTATATTTTATCTGTGCTGTAGTAAAGGCAATGCAATTAAAATACTTTTATTGTGCTTTTTTGGTCCTCACCTGAGGATATGGTTGTTTTAGAGAGAGAGGAAGGGAGAGAGAGAGAGAGAGAGAAACATTTATCAGTTGCCTCCTCTTTGCACCCTTACCTGGGATTGAACCCGCAACCTAGGTATATACCCTCACTGGGAATTGAACCCTCAACCTTTTGGAGTACAGGACGATGCTCCAATCCATTGGCGCCACCTGACCAAGGCACTTTTGTCACTTAAAAATTTTTTATTTTTAACATTCAAGGCTATCAGGTTACTGTTTTCACTATTTCATACCTGGCAGATTATATCACCTTCAACTGGTATGCCTACTGCCAATTCCTCCTCACTGACAGGTTATTCTGCTGAGCACATATTTGATTTTGCTAATCTAAGTTAAACAAACTTTCTTGCCTCCCATGTGTCTGTGGGATATAGAACAAACACCTTGCTGAAGCAAATAAAGACTTTCCTAATCCACTCCCAACCTGTGTTTCCAAATCCAGGGCAACCTCTCTTCTCTAGGTCCTTAACCCCAGCAGTCAGAACCTTCCACCTCTCTTCACCTTTGGACTCCTGCTCTGTTCTTAAACTGCCCTACCTCTGCTTCTTCCTCTATCAAATTCCTCCTCACATTTCATTATCCAGCTCCCAAGGATTCCCTCTTAAAAGGCGGCCCATGGCCCTGGCCAGTTTGTCTCAGTGGTTAGAGCACAGGCCGGCAGACTAAAGGGTTCCAGGTTCGATTCAGGAAAAGGGCACACACCTGGGTTGTAGGCTCAATCCCCGGCCCCGGTCAGGGTGCATTGCATAGATGTCTCTCTCTTTCTCTTTCTTACACTCTCTCTGAAAAGCAATGGAAAAAATATCCTTGGGTGAGGATTTAAAAAAATAAAAAGGCCACACCCATGGTTTCTACAACCTTTAGTTCTTACCTTCCTGCCTCTTTGTGAACTCAGCACATCTCCCATATTAAAACCCTTTATATTTTATACAATCCACCCCCCTGAGCTAAATGTTTCCTGAGAGCTGGCATTGTTTCTCTTTCATCTCTGCATCCCTGTGCTCAGCACTTTGGTAAGTAAATGAGTGCTAACAGAACTGAAGAGTAAGTTCCATTTTTGTCCCAGGCTTCTGGTTTTCATAGTAATGTTGCTTTCTCATGGTGGCAGACTTGGAGACGAAAGAGAATACAGATGAGATCGTTTAAACTAGACATAAATTCGTGTTTGCTCTAGTTTGGGTTTCTTATTTTAAGAGAGGCAAGTCTCCTGATCTACCCAATAGGATAGCACTAATATGTGGATTTTTAAGTTAACTAGAAGTATGTAAAATTAAAAATTCAGTTTCTCATTCTCACTGGCCACATTTCGAGCACGCAAAAGCTAGTGGCTACTGTATCGGGCAACTCAGAATGGAGTATTTCCATCAGCGCTGTAAATCTCTGACCTTTACAGTTAACTCTCCACCCTGGGAACACTCTTCCATCCTGTTCCCACACTGCTTCCCTTATAACCACCATCCTTATTGTGTCTGAAATTACTTGCGTCCTTGAATAAACTGAGGGTTCCAGGTCGTCAGGGACTGTGTCTTAACAGCTGTATCTCCAGTGTTTAGCTTCGCGGCCCAAGCACATAAGCAGGCGTTCAGTAACTGTTTAATTAATGAGTGACTGAACGGGAGGGACCTTCCCGACACCCCAGTCCCAAGCCCTTTCCCGATGATGACCCATTCTTTTGAGTTTCCAGCGTTTTTTATTTTAAGCTTATCTATAAAGGTCGCCATAAAGAACAGAGAGAAGCGCGGCGCATCTGCGATCCCGGAGGCAGTCAAACCAGCTTCGGCGTCCTGCACTCCTGGGCCCGCCCCTTCCCGCCTTAGCCCCGCCCCGTCCCGCCTTAGCCCCGCCCCGCCCAGTCTCCAGCCCGCTCGCGCCTAGCGCGGGAGCCAGCTCCGCTTCCCCGGGCTCGTCACTGCGCAAGTGCGGCCGGAGAGCGTGGGGGCGTCTGGAGGCTGCGGGCTGCTGACCCTCAGGAGCGCGCGGGTTTGCGGCCTGCGTTCTCGGGCTCCAGCCACGCACTACCAGAGGCAGCGAGGCGCAGCGAGCGGATTCGCCCTGCGCCCTGGGCTGAACGGCCATGGAGAACCGGGTGCTGACGCCGCACGTCTACTGGGCTCAGCGACATCGCGAGCTGTATCTGCGCGTGGAACTGAGTGACGTGCAGGTAAAGGCCGGGTCCGGGCGGCGGGACGCGCGCAGGGCCGGGACTCCCGGGACTCAGTGGGACCCAACCGGAGCCTCTGCTTCTTTGTTCCTGTGCGCGCTGGAGAGTCCGCAGTGCGCCAGCGGGACCCGGGACGCGGTGCACTGACGGCGTCCAGCCCCGGGCACGAGTTGGCCCTTGAGGAAAACCCGCAGGCCCGGGGCACGACCCCCTGAGGGCTGCAGGCATCTTCGGGGGCTGCGTGAGTCTCGCGGGGGCCTCGGAGGCTGTCCCGGGCCTCCTCTTTGTTCGTAGTCTTCGGTCTGATGGAGCCCGAGCCCGGCCCTGGAGGCCTGGCGCTTAGGGTTTGGGTCTGCTGAGGCCGTTGGAGGCGTGGGACGACCTCGTTGGGTGAAGGGCGCCGTGTGACTGTGGCTTAATCGGCCGTGGCTGGACGTCCAGAGGGGGCCTGAGAGGTCCAGCCAGGGGCCACACCCACTCCCCAACCGTTCAGTGTTGGAAATCATTCTTGTTTATTTTAAAGTCCAGAAGACCTCGAAGACCTCTGAAGGCTGTGAGCTCAAGTTTGCTGAGTTGCATAGAGAATTTAAAAATTATCTTGTCACATGGAGCATTTATGCTTGATCTTATTGGCTCCCTGTGTGAGCAAGAGCTGAGGCTTCCTCAGTGGTGATCTCTGGACCTGAGTACCCCCATGTTTCTGTCCAAACCGTTCAGGATTCCAGTCTTTGAGGAACTGAAATTTCAGTCTGTAATGTTCTTTCTACAGTCATCCTTACCCCCACTCTGACACTTATGGTGCTTTGTAACTTCCATTTCACTTACACTCTCTCTCTGAGGTTATGATTGGATCTGTCAGCCTGTCTGGCTTATTGTCTTGCAAAGTGTAGGTGCTCTTTGAGTGCGGACTTGAATTTGTTGAATTTAATCTTTGCATCTAGAATATAAACCTGTTTTCCCATCAAAAGAGAAGAGGCAGTACTGGCCAGAATGCCTTTGAGTAGTCTGTGACATTGTACGGCGTGTCATTTAAAGTGTTAAACCAGGCCGAGTTATACTTTTGCCTCAGAGAGTGAGTAAATGTTCTGTGCCAGCTCTTTCTTCTCTGCTTCAGGGTGTCTTAATAAAAAAGGAAGAAAACAAAGTTTTTGTAGATGGGGGTCGAAGTTTCTGTCTAGAGAGGGCTTTTTTCCAGTAACCAATAAGAAGAGTCCTGTCTTTTACAACAGTTTCTAAGTATTTAGCATTATGTAGACCAATTAAATAAATTCAGACCTTGCCCTCTGTAGGTGTCTGTCATGTAATAAGGGTATAATATTCTGGGATACTTTTGAAGCTGCAAACAGAAAAGGTGTTTTTAGAGGGAAAGGAGTGGTGGTGGTGGTGGAAAGAAGTGGAAGTTCGTTGGACAAATGAAAAAATGCATCATACTTATTTTTCCTAAAAGGTTTAAACCTTTTAGTTAAGAAACATGAATGCATGTCAATCGTATTTGGTATATTTAAAAATATGAAGGTAAGTTTGAAATATAGTTAAAATGAAGAAATGTAAAGGTGGAGAAAAAATGGAATTTTTTTAACTTTTTGGGGAAAAAATAAATCTCTTTTCTCCAATTGAGTTTTTTTGTTTTGTTTTGTTTTTCCTCTGGGATTTCCTATGTGTAATTCTGAGACATCCATTTTAGCTACCATTAGTTTAAAAGCAACATGTCCATGCCATTCATAAAAGAAATCCTCTACCACATGTTGAGATACTATGGATTTGTAAAGCTATGTCAGAAAGATTTGGCTTTCTAAGGGTGTACTATTTACAAAGAAGCATATTATATAAAACATAAGTTTTGTGCATGAGTGTGTTTACTGACAAATTTGGAGTTGAATATTGAACCAGGTCCCTTGGTGTTAAAGGAATTTGTTACTTTTCTTTTGTTTAGAGTTGACTTCCAGAAATAAGATGAAGAATTCTTGTCAAACTGAGATTGGGAGAAGCTTCTAGAAAGAGAAAGGCGTAGACTTTTAGATCATGTGACTTGTACTGTGTAAACGCCATCCAGCCAAAACACTGCCAGAAACATAGTACTTAAACACGCTGGGTTTATTACTTTTTTCAGCAAGGGAAGGCATACCTCATAGAGCCATGGGGTGTTTTAAGAGGGCATTAGAAAGAACTGATTACAGGATGTCGACTTTGGTGATTCGAGGATGGTCCGAGGAAGTGGGATTCACTTTAGATGCTGTCATAAAATGGTTGGTCATCTGAATATATCTTATCTATAGAGAAGAGACTAGCACAAAAATAAAACTGTTTATAATTGGTAGGGAAGTAGCAGTCACTTACTTTCGCCAAGAGAGGAAAGGTGCCTGGTATCTTACAGGTGACATAGTGGTCAAATTTTTGTCTGTGCCTACACACACAAAATCAAGGTTTCAGAATAACCTTGTCTGAGGTTGGTATTCTGTGAGATCGTTTATGTCCGGTAGGAGAATAACATGCTTTAGCTGTGAGTGCCATGCCAGCTTCTGAGTATCAGGGGCTGCTTTTTATTTTATTTTTAAAATTTCTTAATTCATTGCTCTGTGCAGGGCCTGTGAAACCAGTGATTCTGGCTCAGGATGAAGGAATTCCTTTGTTTAATGTAAACCATTTGTGTAGTACAAGATGAAGCAATTCATTTATTGGTTCAACCATTTGTGTAGCACCTACTCTTACCTTATTAAGCTAGGTGCTGAGTTGTTGGGCAGCTCTCTGTCGCCCCCTGCTCTCTCTAGCATGTCCCATATTATAATACTAGCTTATGTGTGAGTTTTAGTGTTGAATTCCAGTTTGGGGCATCAGCTCTGTTTCCCTCCCTTTCTGAAAGAGAGAACCATCTGGTTTGTGTGTGTTTTTGTGTTTTGAGAGACAGATAAATTTCTTTAAAAATGCACCTTACCAACATTCACGTCTCTATTCTGTCTTTGGAGCTGCAGGGTTAGTGGCTGATGAGAAACCACTACTGATGTGAGGAGGAATGGTGTGCAATAAAGACTTCAGCAGTAGCATTGTCTGTGTTTGAGGTGAGCGGTAGCAAAGAGGCTAGCTAGAGTCCAGAGGGGCTAGGACAAGGTTACTTTCAGAATAGAGTTTATTTTCAAGATAAACCTAATGGACAGATTTGTGTCAGCAACCATAGTAGTTGAAGCATTTGTTCACTTATCAGGGCTTTTGTTTGTTTGTTTATTTTAGTTGTGTGTGGACAAAGTGCATAGCTCTATTTGGGAGCTGTTTGAAAAATAAGATTCTTGTTCTTACCCAACAGAGTCTGGTGGAAAGAGTGGTAGCTGAAGATTGAGTCCTTGCTCTTATACTTACTATCTGGTGGCCATGGGTAATTCACTTAGCCTTTGTGAGCCTTGGCCTCTCCATCCAAGTAAATGTGAATAATAACACCTAATTCAGAGGATTGTTTTGAGGTTTGAATTAAATATTAGATTTGAAAGTGCTTTGTGAATTCTAGTGTGCTCTTCAATTGTAAGGGATTATCATTGTGATATTAAACCTCAGATGAGAGACATACAAAGACCAATAGAGCAGAGTAGTCTATTAGAAAATTTATCCATATATAAGAAAACTTACTGTACAACCGTGTGGCTTTACAGATTAATATGGGAAAGGATGAACCATTCAGGAAATTGTACTGGGACAATTGGTCATCCAAGTGGCAAAAAGATAAAATGAGATCTTGCCTGCATACACAGAAGTCGATTCCAGGTGGGTTAATAACCTAAATGCATAAAGCAAAGCTACTAAAAGAAAATATAGGAGACTGTATGTTAATGGAACAGGGAAGAATGCATTAATCAAGACACAGGAAACTTTAAATAAGAAAAAGATTGACAAATTTAAGACAAACTTGAAGGAGAAATTGTGACACATATCACTGACAACTGACTGGCATCTTGAATATATAAAGAACCACCTATAGATCAATAAGAAAAAGGCATATTACCCAATAGAAAAGGGGTAGATAATAAAAGGAATTGAGAGTAAAAGGAAACAAGAATGGTCAATAAACCTGATAAGATACTTGACCTCACTTATAATCAGGGACATTTAAATTAAAATGATAGGACATTATTTTTCACATTAGACTGTGAAAAATCAGAAGTCTGACATTACCAACTGTTGGCAAGGGTGTTCAATGGTGGGACATTTTTATACAGTTTGTGGGATTATTAATTGGTACAACTGGTTTGGAGAACAGTGTGGCACTGTCTAGTCAAGCTGAAGATGTGCATATCCATATGCCTTGGAAATTTTGCTCCTTAGAGAAGCTCTTCCATTCATGTATAAAGAGACAGCATGTTCACTGCAGCAAAAAAATTAAAAACAATCTTAATTCTCATCAACAGAAGAATGGATAGACTGTGATGTATTTAAACAATGGCATGCTGTAGAACAGCTAAGATAAATGAGACGGAACTGCCTGTATCTATAAAGATAAAGCTTAGAAATATAATATAAACCAAAAAGCAAGTCAAAGAATTATATAGACCATTTATGTAACATGTGAAATAATACTTTGTATAATAATAAATACCCAACTTGTTATAAGTGAATAAAGAAATACAGTGGGTGCCCTGGCTGGTGTGGCTCAGTTGGTTGAGTGTTGTCCTGTGCACCGAAAGGTTGCTGGTTCCATTCCTGGTCGGGGCCCATGCCCAGGTTTTGGGTTTGGTTCCCGGTTAGGGTGTGTATGGGAGGCAACCAGGCAATGTTTCTCTTTCTTTCCCTTTCCCTCTCCCTTCCTCTCTCTCTCTCAATAAAAACAGAAAAAAAGACAAGAAAAAAAAGACATGCAATGGGAATAATGGTTACCTGTGAGGATGGGATGTGTTTGAGAGAGACAGGGCAGTGGGATTAAGTAATTGTATAACTGTACCCATATCTATTTTATTTCTTTAAAAAAACCCCACTGATTCAAGTAAAGCTAAATGCTAACGGATGAGTGGTGTTTGCTG